AGCTTCTCTTCTTTTTCTTTGCAATATGTCTTCTGACATGCTTTCTTTAAATTTAATCCAAAGCTCAACAGCGAAGGAAACTTGATAAAATGATAAAATTATAGCAAATAAATATCGCATCGAAATGGACGAAGTACTAACTACTGCTTCCAGTAGTGTTTGTTCCCAATGTGAATCATCTTCCAACATACCCAAAGCTTTACAGGCTGCTTGGTAGGAACTCAAGGTTGTACCTTGAACAGTTCTCAAAAAGTGGAAGGAAGTTTGGCCTTTGACTTTATGTAAAAGCATCCTTAGGTAAAAACATTCACTATTATTGGGATGTACAACATAAACTCTACCCAAAGCGTCTGATTTTTTCAAGTTTTCGTAACCCTAAACAGGGGTACCTATTTTCCTACGTTGGAACTTTTTTGCAGATCCATTCCACGTATAATAAGCAGGGACTTTGTCATAGGTAATAGTTTTGGCAAATTCATCATCCGCACATAGCTTAAAAAAAGCCGTTAAAGTCGTATCTGTTGGATTGTTAACAATATCATTTACGTTGTTTTCGTTGAAATAAACCCTTTGGCCGTTTTCTAAATGAACTGCTAGATGAGTAATAGTAGGATGACGACCATGGATATCAAAAGAGAAAATTCTCCACAGAGCTTCCGACGTGCATATGTATCTTCCAGATTGAAATTCTTGAATTTCATCTTTCGAATTTATCGTAAAAGTTGCTTGATCGCTGCCCTTATTTATGTATTTACACACATATTTAATGGACTTAATAGAGCTACAGAGCTCAACATTGATATGGGCATTAAAAGCTTTTAATAATACAGGGTTATATGGTATCACCCAGCTATTATCAACACTGTAGTTACGCAGCGATGCGGTTTGACCTCCCTCTGTTGGGGATAAACGGCGATATTTTGGATATCCGTCATCTCCACAGGACGTGTTATCTTGAAAAGCTTTAGGATACTTTTTTGCACAACGGTGCTCGTTCATACACGGAGAGTTAGGGCTTAAAGATCCACATGGTCCATGTATCATGTGTTTCACTACCAAATCGTGCAAAATTGGATCACATTGTCTATTCGGTAACTCAGCCGAAATTATACTATCAATTTGATTGGCTGTTATCTTGTTTTTTAACCAAAGAAGAAGGTGGACATGTGGAAGTCCTCGCTTTTGCCATTCCACAGTGTACATATGGCACTGAGGTGGGCCAAATATATGAGCTTTGTTAATTAATTTTAACAGTTTTTGAATTTTTAAGTTAAAAACTCTATTGATAATATCATAGCGTTGTTGGGAAGCTGTGGTTGGATCTAAATTGGTTTTTATTTCTTCCCAGTTGGGGTTGCAGGTGATTGTTATGAATAAATCAGGTTTTCCATAATTCCTGACATATGTCATAGCATCTTGGGTTTTTTCATGAAGATATCTAGGGCCACCTGTGAACGTTGCAGGGAGAATAACTAATTGACCAATTTGATTTGGTTCTTCATTCGATCTTAAGGCATCCTTCAAATGTACATAATTCTCTGCACGTAACTGCTTTTGATTATTTCGTAAATATGCCAGACGTTCTGTCTCAATTTTGGCATATTGATCAACTACGTATTGATTCATTAACATTCCATACTTATGAATCGGGTTGAAAAGATTTTCCCTTACCATTAAACGGTAGCAATAAAAGCTCATGCAGGAAACTGTTTTTGAAAGAGGCTCCTTTGAATTAGGATCAACTTGTGGAATATTTGTACAGTAACCGTTTTCACCGCGACAAAACATTAGTGGGTATTGAAGACTATCATAACTACGATGCAGTTCAGAAATGCGAATTAAGTTATTGCTACGACTTTTTAAAATTATGTCTCTTTTGCTAAATTCTTGACCAGTTATCATGACCGCAACGTCACTGGTACATGGTGCATTGTATCGACCAGGATGACTTCCTACAGGTACTTTATTTGCATGAATAATTACTTGGAAATCTGGGATATTTGGTGGAACACTTTCTAATGCAGTTTTGAATGACGAAATATATGCGTTATGCTCATGCAACATGTCTTGCAAAACACTTATAACTGCTTTGTCAACTGCCTGGGCTGCTCTTACTACATCTTACAAACGCCTGCGTTTCAGGATCAGAAATAAAATAAATCTGAAGGAATTGATGCTCATGGTCAGATTCCGGAAACAAACTACCTGCGAAGTGGTAAACTTGCCCTTGTATCTTAAACGTGGGCATGTATCCACGCTCGAAAATTTGAATACTCCGAAATGAAGTAAATTGGAATGCATTGTTGTAACTCCTGATATTTTGCAAAAAATGAGTAGATTTTGGATGATTACCTGTTAATAAGGACCGTAGTGGTTCGAGTGGAGCAGGGATTTCTTCTAAATGGACTTTTCCACCAAGGCAGCACATGCCACCGGATTCACCTATAAATTTTTTGGCAAAACAAAAGCTACAAACAACTGACATATTTCCAATTGAAATAAATTGGTCATTTGCATAATGAATCGCAGCATGATAACGCATGCCCGAAAAGTTTTTTCACGCAACAAATGTTGGCTGGCCTCAGACCGCCGCGCATGGATTCTATCCCTATTTTGCATGAGGCGTGCTTCTCGCTGACTTGCAGTCTCGTTGCTACGTGCATTTCGCTGTCTCTTCGCACGTGTAAATCGTGCGTCGTTATCAGTACGACATACATTTCTAAATTTATATTACTCGCGATTTGGTGTCAATTCTCGCTTCAAAAACGCTTCGCTTTCTTTGCTCACCAATTCCAGAATGATGAATAATTTCTAGAAGCTGACTATATGTTAAGAACATGCCAGTCATGTTGCCTCGCAGAAGAACGGACTGAGAATTGGTGCTATGTATTTGAAGCGGCGAACATGCTTGCACTGTCGTTCAGCATATATTATAATGGATTCTGTGCGAGCATGTTGTAATCAAACAAATTTCATTTCCAGCAAGCACGTTGCGCACATCATTGTTCGGCTGTTGCGCATGCATATGTACATATATATATGTATGTATACATACGTATGTATACATACGTACATACATACATACTGCTCGATCAAACTCATTTTTCTTTTCTGCTTTGTGCTTCTGCTTCCCGCTAGCAAGCGAAGCTAATAACAATCCTCGCATAAAATGGAATAAAAAATGTTAAGAAGGTTTTATTTATTAATTTTTTTTCGTATCAATATTAAAAAGAACAGAGCAAACACCTATGCAGTTTATTAAAGAAATGTTCAAGTTATTACTTCGTTTTTTTGCTTTTTAAATTGATGCAGTAGTTTTAAATATATTGGCGTTAGAAGATAAAATTAGTCTATTTCTGAGGGGTTTTTGCTTATTGTCACGCCCCTATAAAAAAAAATATATTTAAAAGTAGCGAACATTGGAGAGGAAGGTTCAAGAAATATTTTGCAAAAAATCTGAACAAAATCGGTTCAGTTTTAGCTGAGCTGTGAGGGAACATACACATTTTGAGGCTTTATTTTATAAGATGTAGAGATAGAGATACATACATACCTATGGGCTTAGTAAAGCATAGATAAATTTGTCGAAATGAATACGATCGCTTGGTATGCCATGCTAAAGTTCATCTGCGCCCTACGTTTGTTTCGAAACCGCAACATCAACAACAGTGGAAGCGACAGTGGCAGCGGCAGCAGTAACTGTACATCACCTGATGCGCCTTTGGCAACATTTAAACTGAGTCAAGAGGGATACATGAAGCGCAACAACGATTGCAGTGGTTGAGTGTACTGAAGTTGTTGTTGTGGTGTGCGCTGAATGCTGCACCCAATGCGCTGCAACTTTACTGAAAGAAATTATGAAGCAGAAATGCTGAAAACGCGATAAACAAATTTTTGGAGGGCAAAAGCAAAATCTTAAAAGAAAGATTGTAGACTAAAGCGCGCAGTCGAGGGAAATGAAGGTATAACAGCAAAGCGCAAACAGCAGAAAAAAAATGTATTTTGCCTTTCTCTGTCTCCCGAGTGCATAGCTGCTGTTTGTTATGTTTTTTTTTTTTTTTTT